CCAGCTGTTCTTCTGCCCCACTGATGTCTGACTCTGAAGGCAGCTGATAACTGGCATACGGCTCTGGCCCTCGCTCTGCTTCCAAGCCCTCATCAGAGCCTTCCCCAGACTCCAGGAGTGGCCCATGTTCCTCCCGAACCTCCTCATTGTTCGATTCTGCTGTCAGTTCTGCTGGTGGGCCACAACAAGCCTTTTCTTTGGGAAAGCCATCTTCTAGTTCCCAGTATTGACTGCCTGATGTGGCACTGACCCTCCCTCGGACCTCTAATCCCCCCCCCCCGCCTGAAAGGTACCATGACTGGAAACTCTCTTCTCTCAAAGAATTTTTTTTATTTTTTTATTCTCTTACATACCATTTTAAGCATAATAACATGATTGTTATTCTTCTTTACCTTTATCATTCTTATACATTTATTATTTCATTTTAATAGGTTATAATATACAGTTTGAGTTGCTTTATTTACCATCCCTTCCTCCTTTTGTAACACCACCTTATTTTCCCTTTCTTTTCTCCCTCCCTTCTCTACTTCCTTCCTTCCTCCTCTCCTTCTCCTCCCTTCTTCCCTTACCTTTCTCCTACTCCTACTCCTCCTTTTCCCCTTCCTACTCTCTCTCCTTCTCTTTCTCTCCCTTCTATCCTCCTCTCCTAACCTCTTTCTTCTTTCCCCCATCTTCCTCTCATTCTCTCCTCCTCTCTCTCTTTCTTTTTCTATTTATTGTTGGTGTATATTTCAAAACTTTGTTTATGTTTCCTTGGATTGCTATTTCTGCCAACCCAAATATAATTTATAATTCTCACCGTAGAAGGTTTAGTGGGGTTGTGCTCCAGAGAATGGTAATTCAGTTGCTGGTTTCCCGACAGGCTGCTATTACCTAACAAAGGAGAGAGGAAGCGAAAAAATCTCAGGGCCGCGGAAGACAGAATTTTTCTCTTTTTTGTGAGATGAACGACACGTCGGAAGGGGAAAATCCCGCCGAAAACACCTTTGCTCCCTCAGGCAGTGTTGAGCGTCAGCTCTGAGGTGGCAAAACCGGTCTGACTGGCCAAGGAAGAGGCCAACATTGTTTGAAAAACAACACGAAAAATACCGATATACAGATTAAAAGAGTTGGAAGGGACCTTGGAGATCATCTAGTCCAACCCCCTGCCCAAGCAGGAGACCCTACACCATTTCTGACAGATGGCAGCCCAGTCACTTCTTGAAAGCTTCCAGGGATGAAGCTCCCACAACTTTTGGAGGCGACGTCTGTTCCTTGGGTTGATTGTTCGGTCAGAACATTCTTCCTTATTCCCAGGTTGAATCTCTCCTGGCTCAGTTTCCATCCATTATTATTCCTTCTCTGGCCTTCAGGTGCTTTGGAGAATAGCTTGAACCCCCTTCTTCTTTGGGGCAGCCCCTCAAATATTGGAACATGAGCTGCAGAGGAGCTTCATGAATCACTCAGGTCGCAAATGTGAAGCGTGTGGAGCTCCCAAGTGCAAAAGAAGGTGTGCCCAAGAGTCCTTTAGGGCCTGGGCTTTTTTGGGGGGCTATGTGTGTGGAATCAGCCCTGCTTCCCCACAGCTAAGCCCTTTCCTGCAAGGCACCTTGTCCAACAGAGGCACCCTTTTGCTCCTGGGCTCTGTAAGGAAGTACCATCTTGCTTGCCCTCATCGGGGTTAGAGGGATCACGGTCTAGGCACAGACCTGGCTGTTTTGGGTTCCACCACAAAACCGCGTTTGACTAAAGCGCGCTCGACGAAACCGCGTAGCTGATGTCATCACAGGGCAACAACAGCGCGGAGACAGAAGCACACTGTAAACGCTAAACCTAAAATTAACCCCTAAACCTAACCCCCCTAAACCTAACCCTAAACCTAACCCTAATCCTTAACCTAACCCTAAACCTAACCCTTAACCTAACCCTAAACCTAATCCTAACCCTTAACCTAACCCTAAACCTAACCCTAACCCTTAACCTAACCCTAAACCTAACCCTTAACCTAACCCTAAACCTAACCCTTAACCTAACCCTAAACCTAACCCTAAACCTAACCCTTACCTTAACTTGAATCGGCTTGCTTGGAAGAAGTGCAGAAATGAGGAAATGAGGGAATAACAGAGAGGAGGAGGAATTTATAAATGGCTGGAAACCAAAAGCCAAAGTAGAAGAGAATGCAAATATATGGTGATATAAATAATTAACATTATTTTCAGTGTTAGTTCTACTGTTGTTATATTATAGGACAAGGTAAAAGCAATAGGAAGGCAATGCAGAATAGAGAACTATAAAGGCTAAATGTGAAAGCTATTACAGAAGGCTGCATAATTACTTTATATTGTTATGTGTTGTGGCCCAGCAGGAGTTGTTGGAGCTGCAAACAGACTCCGACAGCGAGGGAGCCTATGAGTTGGCTCTGGAAGATGTGGAGGACCCTGGACAGGGTTCCGACTCTGAGCAGGGACCAGAGAGGCTGGTTGGCCACCAGGAGGCAACTGAGGCATGGAGCAGTGGGAGGAGCTACGGGAGTTGGTCCCAGATGCGAAACAAAGGCGGGCAGATAAACGCCGAGAGCAACTACGCAGATACAGAAGATAATTGGACCCAGGTGGCTGTAATTAGGCTCCTCCCAAGAGAGTATATAAGGAGAGACTTTGGGAGGAGGCTGTTGGCAGGATTCAACTGATATACCAACGCTGGAGAAGATCTCGTGTATTTCTTCTCTTGGAAGTCTGGATTGCTGCCAAAGTCTTGTCGGTGTATTAATTTACAGTGAATAAATCATCTAGCAGTAATCTTGTCTTGGAGTGCCTTGGTGTACAGAGGGGGGAGGTCAGAACTGTTATGTATGTTTTGTGTTTTGTTTTTTCTTGTGTTTTTCCGTTTTTAAGGATTAAAATGTTCAATAAAAATTATTTTAAAAAAATAGAGAGGAGGAGGAGGAGAAGGAAGGAAGGAAAGAAACACTGCTCCCCAAAACAAATAGGAGCTTATTTTCATGCTCAAGATAAAGAGAGATTCTCCAACCCATCATACACAGATGTGTTTAGCCAGAGGCACCTGGTGCTGGTTGGATTATCTCCCTTTCATGGGACAGATCCTGCATCTTGCAAGAGACGGAGAGAGGGGCCACCCTGAACACAGCGAAGCATCTGGATTTTGGCTCCCGCACCCCTCTTCTCTTTTTTAAGCCCTTTCGCCTCTTACCTGGCAAGATCCTGGCGCATTCAGCAGCCTCCATGGGATCTTCCAACTTTTCCAAACATCCTCAAGAGAATTGGAGCACCGTACCCTCCATCGGTACCTGGCCAAACAGGGAGCCTCAGGAAAGGCACGTCTCTCAGCACTGGGTGATTACAGCCAGAGCAGCACTGGCCTTCCCCCTCGGTGGGCTTCACGGGCAGGGATGGAAGCGGCCGGACACGTTCGCTCAGCACGTCCTGTCACCAGGCCTCTTTCCCTCTCGTGTGCCTGGGACTTACTCCAGGGTTCAGGTGTCGGACAGTTCAATGGAGTCAGTGCAAAGGGGTTGGGGGAGAAAAGATGAGAGCAGGAAGCTGGCAGGATGGCAGTCCCTGGAAGGAAGCCGGGAGAGAGGTGGGTAAGGCTTGGGCTGGGACACCTCTTATGGCTGAGACCCCCCCCCCCCTTCTCCCATGGAAAACGAGGGGAAGCTGAGCCCACCCATGCAGGTTGAGCAGTATTTGCCCACCCCCTAGGAAAAGTCCTTTTTGGAGAGGGGGGAAACTCCAGCCAAGGGACTGGCTTAGTGCTGGGGGGGAAAGGGAAACTCAGGGCAAACTCCCCCCTCCCATGGGAAATGAGGGAAAGCTGAGCCCAGCCATGCAGGTAGAGCAGCAGCACCCCCCCCCCCTCCAAGACAAAGTGTCCTTTTGGGGAAGGGGGGAAACTCGGGGCAAGGGACTGGCTCAATGCTGAGTGGGGCACTCAGGAGAAACCCCCCCCCCCGGAAGCTGAGCCCAGCCATGCAGGTAGAGCAGCATCCCCCCATCTGGAAGTCAAAGTCCTTTGTGGAAGGGGGGAAACTCTGGGCAAGGGACTAGCTCAGTGCTGAGTGAGGCGGGGTGGGGGCACTCAGGACAAGCTCGGGCAGCCCCCTCCAGCCAAGCACCAGCCCCCTGGAAAGGAGGAGGAGGTTCCATCCAAAGGCACCTGCTTCTCTTGGGCCAACGGCGGCCACCCCCTGCCCGCCCGTATCCCGCTGCCTCCCCGCAAAGCCCCTTCCTCACCAATCGGGGGGGGGGGGAGAAGGACGACAATCCCCGGTCCTCCAAATCCAGGCCGCCCGCAATGCTACGTGTCACCTCTCTCTTTGGCCCGCGATCAAGAAAGAGGCTCTACCTGCGGCGTCCAGGGGACAGGCTCCACCGGTCGAACCCGCCCGCAGGCTGCCCCGGGAGCCCCAAAGAAGGCAAGGCAAAGCGGAGCGGCG